AGTTTTAACTGAAAACGATTCGAAAAACACGTACCCTCTAGCCCTGTTCAAGGAGAGACTGGGAGAAGCAGTTTGGTGCTGCAGACGATGACAAAGAAAATGATTTTGATGGATTTTAATGAAAATATTCAGAAATATGGTATAATAGTATTTATTCAAGTCAATTAGGATAGAATATTATTGTAATACAGTACAACAGTTTTTTAACTAAACCATTCGAAAAGCGATTACGGTAACATCTTTTGAACGAAAGAAAGAGAAAGTCATTGTTTTCGTCACGATTTGATCCCACTTTCCACTGTAATACGTACGTCATTTTAGCAAAAATATTACATTTCCGTGAATGCATTATATCAAGCACAGTATGAATAGAATACCATTGTAATATAACAATATTTTGAGTCCTACTCTTTCCATTTACAGATTACTGTACAAGCCCATAATAATGGCTCCTAAAGTAGATAAACTTCGTTGTGTGAAGAGAAAGAAGAACACGTTAAATTGAGTGACAAACTTGAAATAATTAAGAAACTAGTACAGTACGTGGTGTGAGCAATACTGTTCTAATGGAAACATACGACATTGGAAAGTCTACAATTTATGATATAAAAAAGGCAAAGAATAAAATTCTAGAATTCACAGCTTTTTCATTAAAACTGCTCGTTTTGATAAATGAAGCATGCTATATTTGCTAATGAATAAACTATCAAAATGTACCTGTTCACCTCTTCTTTATTCCTCCTTAAATTTGAATTTTAAAAGTACTGCCTGAGAATCCGGAAAATCCGAAAATCCGGACTGACCCAATCCCCAAGCAGTCCGGATTTTTTTACTTCTACTGTAGATTTTTTTTTTAATGTTGGAAAAAAAATTTAATTTTTTTTTTTTTTTTATCTGACGGAATTACAACCAGTCGGACTTACGACCTGATTTTGGGTCCCTAACCCCGTCGTAAGTAGGGAAGCACCTTATTAAACCATTATTGACCCAGGCTACACTAACATGTGTCTCTCACTAGGCTTCAAAATGCCGGCATAGACATAGTGATGATGATAAACAGAAATTTCCGCTGGAATGGTTTCCTGGGTGACCTGTACACAATCAAGTGGGTTCTCTACCCCAACCTGAACGAGGCTCAACAGCTGTTTCTTGACCACCTTGAAAAGGTTTGGTTGGGTTAGGGTCATATATTAAGTACACTAAGGTTTTTCTTTCAGTTCTTTGCTTTGCCTATTATTATTTTTACCGTAATATGTTCATTGTATATTTTGCTGTGTACGGGCATATTTTTTTTATTCTTATTTTTTATCATTTAACCATTTATAGCTAACTAGCTGTTCAAGAGGTCAGTCTGTTCTTTGTTATGACATTCATTATCCAGCGGAGTCACACTGGTATATATTGATAATTAATTGATTAGATCTCTATTCATTAACTGTATATATTTACAATGAGTTTACTATTAAATACTGTGCTGTACTGTATTTGTATAAACAATACAGTGAACCCTTACTTTACGCGGTTAATTCAACCCACAGGTTACCGCGGAAAGTGAGAAACGCGTAAAGTGAACAACATAACATATGGGATTAATTGAAATAGAGACCGGGCCGACCCCCAAACTCCACTTTTTCAGACACAATACCTACGTTGTAGTAAAAATAACTTCTTAATTTTATGATGGTATGCACACACAATTAATAATCAAGAGAAATATCAATAATATTAGGTTTTTTAACACTTACATTAGTAGAAAAGATGGCTGGGCACAAGGGGATGGGGGGTTGGTTCCGAGGCAGAGGGCAGATTATTGGCCCTCACCTGTATCACTTGTATCAATTGTATCACTATCCACCACAGAGGCTTGCAGGGCCTCTTTGTCAAACCCCACAAAGTCCATATAAGTCCATATCCTCACTATAATTATCACTATCACTGACTTGGGCCGGCTGTGGTGGGTGGCGGGTGAAGAACTCGGTAATGTTTTGATGACTGGGCGACCTTGTGCACACCCTGCTCGCGCCGCTTACACAACATGGCGGATGGCGGGAGAGGGCGGGAGAGATGGCAGGAGGTTTGGAACCAAAAATGGCGTGGCTCGCCAGCCACTCTCCGCGTAAAGGGGTACACGCACCTCGGAATGTGAGCATTCCGGTTTCGGCAGGGTACCGCGTAAACGTGGAAACGCGGAATGTGGGACCGCGTAAAGCGAGGGTTGACTGTATATATAAACCTCAAATGATATTTGAATACGTATTGAAGTTGACCATCAGGAATTAGTGAGGTCTTGACTCCTCTTTACTTAGCACTGAACACTACCTGAACACACACTGTTTGTATTATAGTCATTAACATGTGATATGTGAATATACTCTCTTTATGTTAGTTCATATCAACACCATCATTCATATATTTAGAAGTTAACTACAGTGTGACATAAAATAAATTACATATACTTATATTCCTGAGTGCAATAATATAAATATTTCAAACAGATGGTTCAGTGCAGCAATAAGTTGCAAGCTCTGCCTTTTTGGTAAATATAATCGTTTTTTATCCGTTTTCAGATTATCATCCAAATTTTTAAGTTCTTTGGTAAGGCATAAAAGATAAGTATATTTATGAATGTCAGAGAGCATCAACACATATACCAAGTCACTCTGAAGCATGACAAGAAACATGTCAGTTTAATCATCTACACCAACACCTGTTTCATCTACCTAATACCTGTTATACATATTACATATAGTTATGATATTGAATTTATTTACAATGGCAAAATACAGTGATCATATCAAAAGTGCTTCAGTATACAGTATTTGTTTAAAATTAAAACAGTATGACTTTGAATTAATTTCCCAAAAACATTTTGGTCAATGAAAACCTGTCTTATTTGTATTCTAGAAACAGTCAGTACTATAAATAAACATTTATTAAAGTCAATATCTTCTATGTACTGTACAAGTCGTTAAACCACTTTCTACAAAACATATTACAAAGAATGAAAGAAATATATTCACAAGTCTTCTTCATTACACTTTTCTCAAAATGACATCACCAAAATGTACAAAGGTATGAAGGCATTATTATATCTTAAAACCACTGTGGATGGCACTCACTCCAAATGTTAGGTTCAGGTAGCTGGTGTTTCTGAAGCCCACATCCTCAATCATCTCTTTAAAGCTCTCCTGAAAAAATAAAAATACAAAAATTACAAAATACTGAACCAGTTCTGAAGTGCAATAAAAGTATAAATAATCTAGACACTCATTAAATATATCATGAAGACTGGACACACACACACAGTATATACCCGTGTGTAGTTCGAGTTTTTAAGACCAAATTTTTTGGCAAAAAATTGGGGGTCGACCTCTAAACGGGTAATAGTTTCGTTAGGGTGATAAATATTTACCAGTAACTGCCAGTGAACAATGGAAACGACGCACCACCAGCTGTGAGTGTGGGTACAGTTGCCAGGGCAGATCTCCTGCGTCATCATAGCAAGCCCAAAGTAGCCAAATGCATGGTATGGTAGCACAGGACGATGTAAAACATAAAGTATTCATTTTTAAAAGTTCATTTATAGATACATAAATTTTTTTTCATTGAATTTGAAACATCAATCTTTGTTAATTAAATTTGAAACAAAAGAAAACTACGATACTGTATTTCTAAATATTTTCATTAAAATATTACATCACAAGTATATTTTACCTTAATTGTGCCTGAATGAATATATTCTCAGAAATAAACATGGAAATGTAATATTTTTGCTGAAATGACGTACGTATTACAGTGGAAAGTGGGATAAAATTGTGACGAAAACAATGACTTTCGCTTTCTTTCGTTGTTCAAAAGAATTTACCGTAATCGCTTTTTTAATGGTTTTCAGTTAAAAAACTGTTGTATTACAATATTATTCTATCCTAATTCACTTGAATAAATACTACGATACCATATTTCTGAATATTTTCAATAAAATCCATCAAAATCATAATATGATGTGAGTCAGGTCATCTACACACAGTTGCCAGTTTCAAGATTTTCCGTTTAAAATTTTAAGTTACCGAGTATTTCTTTTCCCAAATCGTTTTACAATACTGTAGGTAAAACAGTTTACTATTGTGCAAACCCCACAGAAAAAAAAAATAACAGAAATCGAGACACCAAAAATGTAAAAAAAAAATGCTGTGTCTGAATTGCAACACTGTTGGTAGGGTCAGGTGGTTCTAATGGCATCCTGCCAGTACCCAGTAATCAAATTTATAACAGTGTCTAACCTCAATTACTGTAGTTTATCTGATGTAGGCAATATGAAGTAGAAAATACCAGTTAAAGTGAGAAATTGGAAGAGAATAAACAAGAAAGATGTCGTTGAGCTATTTTTGGTTGGGCTGAGGGAGAGAGTACCAGCTGTTTGGTCTTTTTTGGCGGGAGAGTCACGCAAATATCCGTATTGGTATTTGTTTGGTGTCTTACCGTATCAGTGTATTATATACAAACTTGTTATATTTCTGAAAAATAAGAAGTAAGAAAATAAGAATATACAGTGAGTTCTGCTATAACGCGTGTTTTGATAACGCGAATTTGCTCTAACGCGATTTATGAATTCGGAACAATATTTGTATAACGCGATCGCTTGTTTGCTATAACGCGATTTTTGCTTACTATTTCTCCAATTTTGTGGTATTAACTGTGAATATGGTAAAGAAGAATATCTCCAAAAAGCATTCTGATGATAGAATTCCCGGTGATTATCGTAAAAGAAAGGATATAACACTTGAAGAGAAGCTTGATGTTATCAACCTCAAAATCACCCTTCTCCCCCATCAAGTTACATTCATATTTTTTCAAGGTAAAGTGTTAAATTTACTGTATGATTTCATTATTAGATATGAATGTAACATTTATTTAGACTGTGCTATCCTTTGTGTTAGGCTAACTACTAAATTTTTTCGATTTCGAGTAATCTGCACCTAACCCTATTTTCTCCATAAGCCCTGTTATTTCTATTACGCGATTTTCTATAACACGATATTTTACAAGAACACAATTATCGCGTTATAGCAAAACTACCTGTACCGGTAAACACAATTTCAACGTACGCTAAAATTAAAGGCTGCTTAAGAAGGGCCGATCCAAAAACAAAGCCTCCGCGACCAGGGCTCTGCCGTATCACCTAGACGGTACACGTGTTTTTCTAATCGTTTTCAGTTAAAAAACTGTTACATCACAAGTGAATTAGGATAGAATATTATTGTAATGCAACAGTTTTTTAACTGAAAATCATTCGAAAAGCGATTACGGTAACATCTTTTGAACGAAAGAAAGCGAAAGTCATTGTTTTCGTCACGATTTTATCCCACTTTCCACTGTAATACATACGCCATTTCAGCAAAAATATTACATTTCCATATTCTCAGAATTTAATAGTAGTTTTGCTGAAACGTGATTATTTCAATGTAAATTAGGATAAACTACAGTGGTCCCTCGGTTAACGAGATTTCGGTTAACGAGTTACCTTCCATAAGATTCTTAACTTCGGTTAACGAGCAATCCCTCGATTAACGAGTTTCTTACGAGCTGACCTGAACATGTTTTCGCTTGCATTTGGCGGTCCACCAGCTGTAGTATTAGTCCGCCAATACAGTAATCGGTTCTAGGGCTTAAATTCCTTACCATTTTAGCAAATATCAAGAAGTTTATACTATTCAATAATTTTAAAAGTTTAATATTAAATTTTTTAGTCATTTTAACAATTATTGAACATAATTGAAGGTAATGAAACTAGTTTTATGCGCGCCATCCAGCCTGCCAACACAGCATACAGGCGTCAGTCTTTGTGTCTTTTCAGTGGAGGTAACATCTTGCTTGAGACTCTTCAACTAAATGATTTTTTTCTGTGTTTGCAAGCAAATTATTGGTCATTTTGAAATTTATTTTACATATTGACAATATATAATGCAGTGCAGTGTTGATTTAAAGAAAATTATCTTGAATTACACCAAGAGAACTAAAATTTTATGGGTGAAATGGCACCATGGGGTGACATCTCTTCTCCCTTCTCCTCCACCCCCATTCTAATTCCCATCATCATCATCATCATCATCCAGGAGCCTTCTACATACACCCCTCAAAGTAAGTGTACTTTTCTACCTTTTTTGTTGAATTTAGGCAATTTTCGGTGAGCTGGAACCAATTACCCAAAAACCTATTGAAACAATGGTTTCGGTTAATGAGTTTTTCAGTTAACGAGCAACCTTCTAGAACGGAATGTGCTCGTTAACCGAGGGACCACTGTACATGACAAAAACAAGACTTTACCTAACCTTCCAATGTTCAAGAGATGTTACTCGTTTTTTTAATAGTTTTCGGTTAAATTACTGTTATATTAGTGATATTCTATTCATACTGTGCTTGATATAATACATTCACGGAAATGTAATATTTTTGCTGAAATGACGTACGTATTACAGTGGAAAGTGGGATAAAATCGTGACGAAAACAATGACTTTCGCTTTCTTTCGTTGAAAAGATGTTACCGTAATCGCTTTTTGGATGGTTTTCAGTTAAAAAACTGTTGTATTACAATAATATTCCCTCCTAATTGACTTGAATAAATACTTGAATGGAAATATACAATATTTTTGTTGAAACTACCCGCGTTTCAGTGTAAAGTGTCGTAATAATAAATGGTAAACAATTTGCCCTCGGCACTCGGTGTTTCAGGCACGGTGAGCCTCAGTTTATAGGACGTAGAGAGTTTTTACCCTCAAAAACTTGGGTCGACCTATAAACGAGGAATATCATTAATTAACGGTTTCTTGGTCAAAAAATCAGGGTCGACCTATAAACGAGGGAGGATTATAGACGAGTACCGGTATATAGTGGAATCGCAATAATCCACAGTTAGGTAACAGAAGACATTTTGAATTATTAATTTGTAAATTATAGTTTAATTGATTTAAATAGAAATACCCCCTGTAATTAGTTAGGCTCCAGATGCCAAAACATACACATAAACTGTTCCAAAACTGCTTTAATAGACACTAAATATTGTGCATAATAAATCCAAAAATATATAATATATAAATATTGTACAAAAAGTACAGGTATCCCTAGTTTAGCGTGGTGAGCCCTGACTGTCCTCTCATAAGGTAATGTACCAAAGTTATACAGTATTGTACAGTATTTTATTAATGTTTTCAATATATTAGTAACTTACAGTAGTTGTGTACTATTTACCATTAGTTAGGTAGAGTTTTTGTTGTTCATGAAATGACTTCATGTTTTTGGGGTATGATATTCAGTTCCCCAATGGAAACTGAACCATATTTTCCCCATATGTTCTTCTATTTGCTGTACCAAAATTCACTTAATGAATGTGTTTTCAGAAACTTAACCCATTCATATAATGACACAGTGCCTTTGCCATGAATTATGAATTTTTGACTGGAAATATTTAAAAGTGACATAGTAGTACAGTACTGTAGAGATACCAGCAAATTTAAAAACGAAAATTTATATTTTGAGAATTATCATGACTCCACTGTTTTTATAAAATAAATAAATAAAAAAGTCACCTGATCGGGAAACTTGCGAATACTCTCCACCAAGTACTGGTAACTCTTCCAGTCACCCGCCACCACCTGTCCCATGGCTGGGATCATGTTGAAGGAATACTGATCATAAATCCTGTTGAAAAATTAAGCTTTAATGTTGCACATATGGTTCATATACAATGTATATAAACCATATGTGCAACATACATACATTTTACATCTATTAATAAATGACATTACCACCTCAACTACTGCACCAAGACTTGTATAAATTAATGATCCTGATGGCAACAAGGTGTTGGAGGTACAGGAATATTGTGCATATCTCTCACAATTGTGTCTTGGGTTCAGTCCCCGGTCCGAGTCATAAGTGAGAGAATACTATCCATTGTGAAACTGCCAAATATGGCAGGTTTTCTCCAGGTACAGTACTCCAGTTTCCTCCTCTACTAACACTGGACCATAAAAGTTATAATAAAATAGCAAAAAACTGACCAACTGCCCAAACAGCTAGTACAGTATGCTCATAAGTGGTGAAACAAATATAAATATAAAAATCTTGATAAATTTACACAAAAAATAATTCTTCGACAGAGATACAGAATACACCATCTTGAAGTATATTAATGCAAACATCACAAAGGAGATTTTTGGTTCAATATAGCAGACGCTGTATTTTTAATTACCTCAGCCTGGAAAGAGGTTACTGTGAGGTGTCTTTGTGCTGCTTGGAGGCCATTGTGGCCTGAATGTGTCCTTCAAATAGACTTTGAAGGCTTCGAAGAGTTAGAAGAAGAGGCTGTTGTTCATGAAATTGTGGCTCTGGGCAATTCCATGGGCCTGGAAGTGGATGATGATGATGTTGAGGAGTTGGTGGAAGAGCACAGTAAGGAATTGTCCACTGAGGAGCTGCTTGAGCTTCACAAAGAGGAAAACGAGACACTGAAGCGGAGCTTAACTTCTGAGGAGTCAGGGGAGGAGGAGGACAAGGAGGAAAGCCGCATCATTCCAGCCAAAGATCTCAAGGATGCGTTCTTTTGCTGGAGCAAACTGTCCAAGCTTGCTGAGGATTATCATCCTGATGTTGGTTCTATGCAAAAGGCCATCAGTGTGTTCAATGACAATGTTATGAACTACTTTTGGAAGGTCCAGAAATCAAGGTTGAAGCAGCCAACCCTGGATTCCTTCTTTACAAAGATAACAAAAGAACATACAGACAAAGTGCCTGTGAGACAGTCACCAAAGAGGGCTAGGAAGGATGACTCCTCTCCTTCCACCTCTTCTCAATAATTCTCTCCTCCCCCCTCCCCCTCTGCCTCCTGTCCTGCATGCTGAACAACACTAAGGTAAGATAAAGTACCGTATTTTTTACATTTTCCACAGAATTTTTCAGTGTTAAGTGGTTGTATTTGGGGGCCTGGAACGGATTAATCCTATAACGAACGAATGCTATAACGAACGAGGTTCAGGAACCAATTACGTTCGTTATAGCATACCCCACTGTAAACCTAATTAAGAGTTAATGAAAAGCAGCTAACTGAAGCTCTTGGTGGCTGTTGATGGAAAAACAGGATATCATACAACCACAGATAGAAGCCAACGTACCATCTCACTGCTGGGTTCTTGACGTGGCTGAACTCAAGACACATGAACCTTCCTCCGGGTTTGAGTACCCTATATGCTTCTATTAAGGCCTGAAAATTCAGAGAATTTTTCATAATTGATTTTAGATCTCGTGAAGATTAAGAACCCTCAGCTTATTTCACCTGAAGAATAAAAACCCTAATACTAACTAGGGGTACGGTTAAACTGGTTAGGTTAGGTCATGTTGGGTTAAGTTAGGTTACAGTCAGGATGTTTAATAATAATTTGGTGAAATAAGCAAGGGTAGAGTTGAACAGTATAAAATACATCTGGAATGATTCAGAAATTGTATTGTACACAAAGAATGGACAAAAGACTAACTGACAGACGAGATGACTACTGCAACACTTAACAATACTATGAGCTGCTGTCAATGTGTAATGAGTTCCACTGACCACCATGACATACTCAGAGAGGTCACTTAGGAGATACTTAAACAAGATACTAAGAACACACTTAAACAAGATACTAAGAACACACTTAAACAAGATAACAAGATACTAAGACACTTAAACAAGATACTAAGACACTTAAACAAGATACTAAGACACTTAAACAAGATACTAAGACACTTAAACAAGATACTAAGAAGACACTTAAACAAAATACTAACCTTCTCAACATCCACCACATTCCTGATGCCAAAAGCGATGGTGTAACAATCAAACTCGTCATTGGGAAATGGAAGCTTCAGGGCATCTCCACACACCCAAGTGATCCCCTTATAACCCAGCTCCTTGGCTCGTGTCTGGCCAACATCCAACATATTCTGACTTATATCACACACTGTAATCTGTAATAAACATGAACTACTTCAAATGGTTTGAATTAAATAGTTTTAAAAGTAGAAAGTTCAGTTATTTCTGTACACATTGGTGCCATCCACATCAGAGTAACCTTTCTTAGTGTTCATGAAAATTAAAACATAATTATATATCAAGTCAAGAGAGAATAAGAAAAATATACTTCAGTATAAAATAATGACAATATTCTATTACTCCAATTAGTTACTTGAAAAACAAATCTAGCCTTATAAGCCTACATATTAAGTTTCAGCAAGGAAAAAAATATATATACAGGTATACTGTATTTACCATATCTTCAAATAGTTGCAATAAGAATCTGGCAATATAAAAAAAATTATCTAAGGTGCAGTAAGGCATTAAAACAAACCTCATATGGTGGCAGGCTATCATCAGCTTTCTGTGACCCTGAAGGTGAGGTGGCATCATCTGGTTCTTCCCAAGAGTTTCTCAAGGTCTTCCCTCCCCTGTGACTATGAAGTACGTGTTGGATAAAGCGGAAAGCAATGTCACCTGATGGAAAAATGAGGTCTATCTAAAGCAGAGGTCGGGGAACAGGGGTAAATTACCCCAAATGGGGTAAATCTACAAATTTTGGGGGTAATGCATGCGGTATGAGAGACACTTCCATCAGAGCCTCAGTTTACTCGAGTTTACTCTACATTGTTAAAAAACGTTTTCTTTGGCATGGTGAGTGACGTCATTAAAGTTTCTAGAGGTCGTCAGATATCACGTTTGTTTCCATCTCATGGTGTAATTGTAAATTACCCTTCCATCGAGTGTAAACACATCTGACTGGATCCTACTCCAGCAGCTCTAGCAGTTGATTTGCGTTGATTTCTGAAAAACGGCTTATTTCCGGGATGAACCATAAGTTTTGGTGAACAAGATGTAAAACCATGTATCTGAAACAAGAAGTCATTGATTTTCGAAAGATTACTGTAAAGAGCGGTACAAAATGTTCCTAAAACATCAGGTAAAAGATGATCGTATGTCATTATGTGTGACCTTGAAGATGAAATAATTTTCTCAAACATTTCTTCAGTTCCTGTCGTGAATTTCACAATATTCAGACTTTTTTTATGTACTCTATTATAAACAGCTATATAAAACTAGTGATTTATCTTCCTAGAATTTCTATCTTGTATATATAAAATCAGGAAACTATTTTTAAAATGATTATTTCCAGTATAATCCAAACAAATTTTAGCTGCAGTGTATATGGTGGAGTTACCTCTTTAACTATTTTTTACAATGGGGAACAATTATATATTAGGAGTCGGTATTGAAATTCTCATTACATTAAGAAAATAAAACTAAATAAATAACAATTACATCCCAGAAAACTGGGATTCAAAATGGTGGGGAAAATTCGCACAGTTATGGCTTTTCATAAGAAGTGATAAGATGTGGACCTGTTGTGTTATAATTATATCTTTTCTGCTTTATTCAGTCATATCTACAGAAAAGTAAGAGTACACTAGTACAGTATAATACTACAGAAACATAAGTCAAACGAAATATTGACAGGTGTGTACACATATGTCTAATTTTTTTTCAGATGGCATCAATGAGGAAAAGGACATACCAGGCAGAGTTCCTCAATTATGGCTTCACAGAAATAGAGAACAAAGGACAAATGAAGCCACAATGTGTCGTGCTGACTACAGAGTCTTTCAAAATAATCAGCTGAAGAAACACTTGGACAATTTGCACTCTCATCTGTCTTCCAAACCACGGGTATACTTTGAGAATTTGGAAAGAGCTGTCTAAAGGCAGAGATTGGATAGCAACAAGAGAGAAACATTTGATCAACGTTCAGCATCAAAAGCTAACTTTGAAGTGGCCTGGTTGATTGCTCGAAACAAGAAACCGCATACTATTGGCGAAGAATTAGTCAAACCTGCAGCTGTGAGAATGGCAGAAATCATGTGTGGGCAGAAAGAAGCCATGCAAATGGGTTCAGTGCCTTTGTCTGCAAGAGCTGTGAAAGAGAGAATTTCCATCTTAGCAGAAAATGTGAGAGAGCAAGTGATTTCTTCAATAAAAGAGACCAAAGATTTTGCTATTCAACTTGATGAGACTACAGATGTCAGTAGCAATTCGCAGCTGATGGTATATGCTCGATACAGGGGTTCTGATGCAATTGAAGAAGAAATGTTGTTATGTTCTCCTCTTGAGTTGAGATCTCGTGGAATTGATGTCTTCAACAAGGTTGATGCACACTTCAAAAAACTAAATGTTGATTTGAAGTGGGAAGACTGTATTGATGTGTCTGTTGATGGAGCTCCAGCCATGTTGGGTCATGTCAGTGGCTTTGGCCAAAGAGCAGAATCCAAAAATTGAGGTTTCCCACTGTATGATACATCGCCAGGCATTGGTTGTGAAGCAGTTGGAACCAGAACTGGAAGCTGTCATGAATGATGTGATCAAGATTGTCAATGCTATGAAAGGGCATGCACTAAACACGTGGCTGTTTTGTGATTTATGTGAGGATGGGGAGGCTGAATATTCAGGCCTCCTTTTTCACACAGATGTGAGGTGGCTTTCACGTGGAAATGTCCTGAATAGAGTGTGGGCTCTCACGACCGAACTTGAAATTTTTCTGGTTGATCAAAAACATGCCCTTGCAGATAAGTTCAGAAACTCCACTTGGCTTGCACTTCTCGCATATTTACAGTAGCTGACATTTTTGAGCATGTGAATGCATTGAACAAGGAATTGCAAGGAAAAAAATGAATGTCATTTTAGCAAGACTAAAAATTTCGGCATTTGGATCAAAGCTTCTGTACTGGAACCAGAAAGTGAATAAAGACAAGGTAGCTGCCTTTCCAAAGCTAGCAGAGTTTTTGGAAGATTGTGAATATTTCAGTCTTGGTGACATCAAGGAGTCAGTTACAAGGCACCTGACCAAACTCAAACAGCGGTTCTCTGATTACTTTCCAGAGCTTGATTCACATACTGTCAGCTGGGTTGTGAATCCCTTTAACTGTGAACTTGTAGATGTGCCTGAAGAGCCTGAAGGATTGGCAGAAGCGCGTCTTGAACTTCGCTCCAACAGAGAAGCACACATGGAATTTCAGAACAAGGCAGATCTCTCGTTTTTTTGGATGTCAAAAGCTGCAAAGGCTTTTAAAATTGCACATTTGGAAGCGACAAAAATGCTGCTGCCTTTTGCAACAACCTACCTTTGTGAACAAGGATTTTCTACCCTTGTGAACTTGAAAACAAAGTATAGAAATCGGTTGGACCCTGAAGACAGCATCCAAGTTGCTGTGACATCAAAAATCCCTGATTTTGATGCTGTTGTATCAAAAGTGAAACAGCATCATTTTTCCAAAACCTAAAGTGGAGATGATTTGAATGAAATTCTTCAGTTCTCCAATCCTTTTTACTAATTTTGTTTGTGTGCTATTCTTACGCCAGAATGTGTGGCCTTTTTTATTTCTCCATGAAAATGGATCCGATAAAAAATGTTTGAATTTGAATTTTTTGTATACATATACCATATCCAACAATTTTAGGAGCAAATTGGCTTGTTTTTGTTTACTGTACTAGTGTACTTTGAAGTCTGGGGGTAATTTCATTTTACTCAAAAAAAAAATTTGGGTAATACCCAAAAAAGTTCCCCGACCCTTGACCTAAAGTGTATACAGTATATAAATATATCTGTAGTATACAAATCTTTGTTAATTAGTAGACTGTCTTTCTCTATTTTATTTTACTTATCACTTCATCACTTACCAGTTTACTAGCTGTTTGGACAGGTGGTTTGTTCTTTGTTATGACCTTCATTGTCCAGTATTAGTATAGGGGGAAACCAGAGTAGCCAGAGAAAACATGCTATATTTGGTAGGCTCACACTGGCTAATACCCTTCTCACATCTGACCAAGGCTGGGATGTCAACCCAGAACACAATAGAGAGAGGCATATGTATTACCCCTGTATTAAATAAACTTTATTTAAGTGTCAAAGCAGGGTGACCCAGTATGAATAGCTATACAGTAATACCCCGATTTACGCGGTTCTCGTTTACGCGATTCTACATTTACGCGATACCTCGCCAGAACCACTATTTCATTTTACGCGGTGCATCTACTCATATACGCGGGAAGCGGCGCGGGCAGGATGCGCACAAGGTTGCCCAGTCATCAAAACATTACCGAGTTCTTCACCCGCCACCCACCACAGCCGGCCCAAATCAGTGATAGTGAGGATATGGACTTTGAGGGGTTTGACAATGAGGCCCTGCAAGCCTATGTGGTGGATAGTGATACAATTGATACAAGTGGTACAGGTGAGGGCCAATAATCTGCCCTCTGCCTCGGAACCAACCCCCCATTCCCGTGTGCCCAGCCATTTTTTCTATTAATGTAAGTGTTAAAAAACCTAATATTATTGATATTTCTCTTAATTATTAATTGTGTGTGCATACCATCATTAAATTAAGATGTTATTTTTACTACAACGTAGGTATTATGCCGGAAAAAGTGGAGTTTGGGGGTCGGGCCAGTCTCTATTGGAATTAATCCCATATGTTCTGTTGTTCACTTTACGCGGTTTTCACTTTTCGCGGTACCCCGTGGGTTCAATTGACCGCGTAAATCGGGGTACTACTGTATAATGCATGTGTGCATACATAAGTGAGTTTGCATCAGTTTTTAAAAGTGGATAAACACGCCGACAAAAAATTAATCTATTCAAGAATTTCCAATGAAAATGATTAACCAACAGTTCAAAGTAACTTTAGTGCTTCATTTTTTTTTCAAATAACACAAGAAGGTTAATATATACGACTAAACCGCAGATGAGTTAATTTTATTACTGTTTATTTTCTTATATTATTTTCATCAGTGAGTACTGATATGGTAATCATTTCTTGTGTAAATTTTTCGTTTCATAGATAATTAAGTGCCTAGGCACTCACTAATTTGTCTTCCCGGCGGTAATGAGGTCGCGCTCTGCTGCTATGCTTTTCCCCGGGCTCGTGGCAGTTTCATTTTCAGCATGACTTGTGAAGGTTGTTGCCTGTCTTATATGAATGTAATTTGCGAATTTTGGGATAAAGACAACGAGACCCTTCAATTGTTCAAAGACTACGGCAGTGTTCCTTTAAACTGAGACTGTCCACACTGCAGGAATTCTTGTGCTTTCAGACCGGAGAGAAATGTGTTTATCACTTCCTCAATGCCGTGGCCCGATGTTTCCCGCCATCACAATAAATCAATCCGCCGTCCGGGCTGCATAAGCGCTGATGCGCCTGCATCATCTCAAGTCCAGGAAATGCCTCAAATTCACCATATCATAGTAAGTTCTTTCTGTTTAATATATCGGGGGGGTCCGGGGGGGGGGTCGGGGGGAAGGAAGGTTAAGTAAGGTTAGGCAGGTTTGTTTGGTTAGGTTGGTTAGGGCTGTTTTTCATACCCACAAATGTTAATTTTTTTTTTTAAATATCAAATTTTTAACACATTTTCACAAACTACAATGGTGTCCACTATAAAATAACAGTGAAAATCAGGCGTTTTTATTTTCGTTTTCGATCAATTTCGGCCGAAGGTTAGTCCTGAATAATTACCCACAAGAATATAATCTAACATGCAAGTGATGATAAAATACACCAACCGGTCCCTCCTGCAACATCCAGCAGCTTGGTGTTGGGTCTGGGCTGTACCCGAGACATGAAGTAGTCCTTCCACACCCGGTGAACTCCGCCAGACATGAGGTCATTCATCAGGTCATAACTACTGGCCACATTCTCAAACACTCCGTGAACTGTTGAAAATTTGTTTATTCATAAAAACTTCAAAGTCAATGATTTTCATTGTAAATAAATTCAAAGCATCATAAAGCAGTAATGAAAATTCTTTGTACAGTTTGACACATGATTCCCATAATGGTAATACTCTAAGACATTGCCTCACTTTAACCCACTACCTTAGATAAATACAGTATTCTATAGAAGAAAACTTCTTTCTTACCTCAGGAACATCCCAAAACAGGCAAAAGAACAGCAACTTTTATAATATTACTTTGGCAATTTTTTCGCCTTAGCTTAAATCTACATCACTACACTAACTCCAGGCAACTGACAACAGCAGCATGAAGTGAAAACAAAATTCATAGGATAAAGGGGTAAATCTTTACAACAGGACAACCATGGATTATAATTTAATGACTTGTTAATGTACATCACTTGTTATAAGAGTTGAGGCTACCTTAAGGAACACATTACCTTTCTCAGCCTTTTGGTCTTGTGACACATTCTCAAAACCAAAATGGGTTTGTTTATCTGCTGAGTATTCCTCCTTGGCATATCCAGACGCTGTAGATTTATACCTTGGGATTACTGAAGTGATTCTTGGAGTAAATTTAAAGAGTCGTGCAGGGAGGGAGGTCATGGTGGCGGCCCAGCTGAGTCAACACTGTGTCCGGAACAACTGACCTTGGCTTCACTGTTTACCCATTACACATCTCTAATCACTCCTTTCATGAGCTTACCTTACGTATAATTAAGCCTTTATTTCAAATTTTAAACTAAATTTACGATAAAAACGAAATTCTAATAATGTTAAGCAATTAATTACATCAGAATAAGATTTGGTTGCCAAGCAGCGGCGTCTAATGTTTGGTTCACACTCAGGATGGATGGAGAAAGGAAACTCACAATGTGCTCTCTATATACATGTTGTATTGGATGTACAGTGCAGCTTGGTGCTGGGAAGGCAGCATGGTTACAAGCGTGATGTAGAGAGAGCTGGTTGGTGAGGATGCTCAGAGGAGGACCAGCTTGTGGGTCGCCGGCGGGAGTGGAGGAGGAGGAGGTGTTACTTGAAGACTGGCTGTAGATAGAAAGAGGTAGGTCACCACTAGGTCAGGTCTTATATAGCGGGGGTAGGCGTGACTTAATAGTTGACCTCCGTGATGTATGGCGGCGTTGGTTGACCTAGACACGAGGTGCGGCTGGGTTCGTGGGTCGGCTCGTCAGCATCTGTAGGGGAGGAGTCCACTACACCTGCATGCACCATCACGGGACACTCGTGCATACATTAATTGGCACGGGTACCTTCTCTGCTGATTGAACATAAATTATTGACGATACTGGAGCTGGGATGTTCTTTGGGGATGTTAACCGAGTAATTCTCCGAAGAAGGTGATGGTGTAACGATGCTACTCGGAAAAAATATGACGTGTCACAAACACTTATTTTTGAGGACTCAAGTGTTTACCGCTGTACGTAATATATCTTACTCAAACTACAATACAGATGTTTTTTCCATCATACATTTCGTATTCTTGGTCAAGCCAAAGTTTAAAAGTGGTAAGTCAAATCAGGAAGTTATGGCGTTGAGCACAGATGACACTAGTGTTATTTATTACCCAGGAGACGCACGATCTTCCTCCAGTTGTTCCAGGTGTCCTGCTACATTATCATATCATCATCTGCATCATATTTTGTCCATCTTGCCCTCACAGTTTTCTGGACTTGCGGCTTCTTCAATCTTGAGCTGTGACCCCTTGTGGGGCGAGCGTCCGCCAGCTCCAAGTAAGGACACTCAACTGAGTAGTGCCCCCTGAGATGCTTGTAGGGGTATCGAGATATTAATGTTGTCTAGCACTCAGGATGGAAGGAAACTCTAATGTGGTTTTCTTGTATAATATATAAGTTATATGATAGACAGTCTGGTGCTGGAGGTGCTGTGTGGTGAGGGGCTGCTTGGTAGAGACGTGCGGTGAGTAGCTTGTTGAAGGAGGTAGATGTGCAGGAGCTTCGTTAGAGAAGATGTTGCCTGTTGCTGGCCTCCTGGTTGAATGAAATGTTAACAGCGTGGAGCTTGCTGGAGGAGATGTTGCTTGTTCAGGAAGATGGGCCAGAATGAGAGTTGGTTGGAGAGGAAGCTCAGAGAAGGACATGCTCGCTGGCGGGAGCGAGGACCGCCAGGTAGGCGGAGGAGAGGCGAGGGTCGCCAGGCAGTGGCAGAGGAGGAGGTGTTGCTTGTTCAAGAAGATTGGTCAGACTGAATCTCAAGGGAGAGACAGAGCTTACATACCCCGCAGCAGCCGCTATGAGTCATGGTGGGAAAACCCGAGAAGTAGCCGGTGAATAGTTTCGTTGCTAAGATACGGTAACATCTGGTTGGTTGCTAGGGAAGGCGGCACATTGGAATGTGATAACAGGTGGTGGGCTGCTACGCAGTTAGTTTGTAGGGGAGACGTCCACTACATGCTCATACACCTCAACTAGGTCCCCCCTTGCCCGTCTGTAGTATAAGCTAGGCAAGTTCAGGCGCTCCAATCTCTCAGGGTAGCTGAGGTGCCGAAGTGCAGGCACCATTCTGGTGGCCCTCTATTGAACATTTTCAACCAACTGACAGTCCCGAGCATATCTCGGGGACCAGACGGGGTGACAGTACTCCAGATGGGGAAGCACTTCACTCTTGAAGATCGTTACGAGGGACGGACCGTCTAGATATCTGAACGACCTTCTTATAAGACCCAATAATTTATTTGCCTGATTTACTTTCTTCTCGCAATGGCCCGAGAACTTCAGCTCATTGTCAACATACACACCTTGGACTTTGTTTGTTTGACCTTTACTTCAACAGTACTACTACTACTACCACCACCACTACTACTAAATATAATAATAATAATAATAATAATAATAATAATAATAATAATAATAATAATAATAATAATAATAATAATGATTCATAAAATCGTTTTACAAGTTTACAATTCATTTTGCATGTATATACATGCAAAACGAATTGTAAACTTGTGCAGGTATACAATTCAGCATGCGTATATACAACACTATAATAAACAGACATTTCGTCAAAACTACCACAAGCATATATTTTACATTCCAAGAACACAGCATTTTGGGGGACAACTTACAATACACCAATACGTTAATTGTTTGTACGTCTGGCATCACTATCTTAGGTGAGGTTTAACAGCTGTTGTAAATCGAGCCTGGAGATATGGTCGACCACAGAGTTATGAACTGTGTCTTTTACTTTTATCCTCTTCGCCATTTCTCGCAACAAGTAAGAAGTAACAGTCGAAATCCTGCTAGGAGGAAAGTGCCCAATGTGCCGAGATCCATATCATCACCGCGTTCTTTAGTAGATAAGCGACTGCAATAGTCAAACCCACTCTGGGATTATTATTTCAGTTCTTACAATTACGCTTTTACGAATTGTTTCAAGTGGACTAGGCGGATATCTGGGGCTGCAGTAGGAGACAGGTACTACACTATTGTCTCTCACACAGTTCAGAGACGGTGTGTAACTTGCTGATATACGTTATCTACACAAATATGGCGAAGCTGAACGATAAATAAAATTTGGAAGCAAAACGTTGTTTGTCAGATGTAAACATGACAAATATTTATTTAAAACAGAGCGGTGTATGTGTTTGAAATTACCTCTTATAATGTACTATAATATCTAAAAGATACAGCTGTAACAGTAGCTTCACGCCTCAAATTCATTTTCAAGGAATGTTTGGTTTTAGGAGCATTATGGAGATATTTCAATATATTCAATGAAGCTCTTGTAATTATCCTAATTTGTATTATCTCGCTCTTTTTGCAATGTTTGTTATGAACTATGCTCGCGTTGTCTTTGTGCATGACAACAGGGTACAGTATCAGTTAAAAGGAAGGCGACTGAAGTATTCCCCTCCATCCCTTCCCTCTCAGGTAGGGGGAGGCAACAGGGGCGGATCCCAAGATTATCAGATAGGGAGGAGAGAAGAGGAGGATGACTGTTGTTGTTAAGTGTCGAGGACCACAGCATTCTGGAGTACTTTAGGAGAAGCCGATAACTTAGTTTTTGGTGGTGGAATTGAACTTTCCCAAATAAATAGGATAGGTGGAGTGTATTCTTCACGCCAACACTAAAGATATTTCTCTTGTCCAATATAAGCTGGGGGCTAATCATTAGAGTATCTATCGGCTGTACATTAATGTATCTATTATGTACGATATCTGTGGAGAAGTTGTCGTACTGCATGACAGCATCGTGTTTAAATAACCGGCCGGCAGCAAACGTCCAGGACAAACAGTGTGGTGGAGGGGTGAGTGACAGGTACTCTAAATTAATATGTGAGACGCCCCTATGTTATTTCAGTATGTATCACAGTGTTGAATGTGCATTTAAGAGTATGATGTAATATGTGAGATGGAGTCCTTAAAGCAAGATATATATTGTATTCTCAAAACATGAATGGTAAATGTTGGTTGAGTTTTTTTCAGATTTTAGAGCTGCAGGTTTATATTTAAAGGCATAGACATACACGAAAGGTTAATTCAGTGTTCCCAAGAGATACTTATAGAGGTACCATATGGCACTGAACTCTAGGTTAGCTTTATACTCCACCTAGGGTTAACTTAAGCTATACTCCACCTAGGGTTAACTTAAGCCTGTAAGTGATAGAAGCTGTGTGAGCTCTGACAGGACCTTAATGTTGTAAGACTATAGAAGGTCAAGGAGAGGTTTGTCACTTAATTGTTATTTTCTGTATAGGATGGAGTAAATAGTTTGTTTCAACTCCGGTTTTAATTTCAGAATACTGTAGAAATGGAGACTTATATCACCATTGCTATAGGCCTCCTGACCGTGGTGTTGGGGACTCAGTGTGCAGACAATACCTGGGGAGGCCTCTACCCACGGGAGTCAGAGTCTCGTGAGGTTCGTTCTCTGGATGGCTTGTGGAACTTCCGTTTGGCTCCTCTTGAGGACCCCGAGAAAGGCTTTAGGGAAGAGTGGTACGCTCAGCCCCTGCGGAAGGTATGTATTTTATTTTTCAGCAGGTTTTTAGAAGTGGTAAGGCAACTTGTTTACTTAATATATATCTGATGTATGAATTTAATTATTCAATACAAAGTGGTTATTTGACCGGCTTTCCTGGCCGAATAACCATTGGCTATTTGACCGGGATCTGTGGGGATTGTGTGTGATTTTACTATGATTTTAATGGATTCTGGTCAGGATGGCTGTGGGCATTACAATAGTTATTACACTGATATTCAAATGCTCAATGCTTAAGCACTGTCTTCTTTAATTGTCTTCTAATACAATACCCCAAAATGTCCCAGTTCCTTTGAATAAACGTAATTCACAAAACCTTTACTCTGTTTACTCACCTTTTAAACCAGTGAATATAAGTTTAGAAAAGTTAATAATTGTTTCCAGAGCCTTAGGGTACAGTAGAAACTTTTGACATGTGTTGTTGTGGACCATTATAGACTGGTGCAGTGATCTCCATGCCAGTTCCCAGCAGCTACAATGATGTGACGCAGGACAAGGCTCTCCGTGACCACATTGGCTGGGCTTGGTGGGTCAACACTACAATAATCTTTTATATCTTTTTTACAAATACACAGGTGGGGATTTGTTTTTTTAAATTCATATATTAACGGTACGTACTTTACAATAAAATGAATTTCATAGTAACATTAATGGGGCTCACAGTTTACACTGTGTTTGAAGAAAACTTTCATTAGTGTTGAAACTGTATTCTAAAAAAAATATTGTCAACCTATACTGTATTTGTGATCATAAATTCTCATAGAAATTTTTTTTATTTTGTTACTGTTGAAGTAATAATTTAATCATTGTTGTAGCTGTTAATTTGGAATTTTGTGCAAAATTTTGTGAAATTTATGGTCCAGTTGTGGAAAAATCTTAGTGAAATTCATAAATAACTCGTTGTTAAACATAATCACTACCCGGTAACATTCAAATGTAAAAAAATGTCAGACTACATGAAGATTGGGAACACCAACTTATTTCACCCGATGATTAAACACTTTAATGCTAAATGTGGGGTTAGGTTAAGTTAGTGTTCAGTTTAAATTGTTTAGTGAAATAAATGGAATTTCATAATCTTCAGGAGATCCAAAATGTCTTATATTAGTCACATAACTAAATTAGATGAAACCTAGATCTTTCTTACCATCCTTTCTATTAGGGAGATTTTCTGTAACAACCTTGTGTAGTTTCATTATAATACATTATCTTGTATAATTATTTTATAATATTGATTTACAGTTTAAACTTTTGTGACAGTATTTGGAAACATTCTTTTGTCAGGTACGACCGCACATTCTACGTACCAACAAGGTGGCAGGAAGATAAGCAGAGAGTAGTGCTGCGTCTGGGGTCTGCTCATTATAACTCAATTATTGTGAGTATATTCTGTCCTATTTATGTTTGCATTTTGGTGAAGTAGTTCTGGAATACTTGCTGTACTGGAATTTAATGCTTCTTCCTAATGTTTCATTTTAAAAATTCAAGTAGTGTTTACAGTAGGAACAAACTTGATATGGATTTTAAAGATGAGACTTTCATATTTGACATGTATAGAGGTAAGGGCCGGTATAGTTTACTCTAAATGCAATAGGGAGGGAAATGATTATACACTTAATAAGTCTCGTGGCTCAACACTGTACCGGTGCTCTAGTATGACCATCACTTGCAGGAGAGAAGACGTTAATAAAGCAAATTATTTCCAGTACCTCAATGGTGTGGCTGTGACATCGCATGAAGGAGGTCACCTGCCCATCATGTCTGAGATAACATCAGGTCTGGTGTATGGACAAGAGAACCTTGTTACGGTTGCCATTAATAACACCCTCACACCTGAAACCATCCCTCAGGGTAGCATTACATATCATGATGACCTAACAAGGTAAGGAATTTGATAAGTTTAGGATTGTATAGCAAGAAATATTTACGTAGAAACCTTATGAGTGCATAGCTAAAACCTCAATATAAGTTTCTTTTTGCCGACTCCTATTACCATTTAGTGAGAGCACCGTTTAGACTGCTGAAAGAGCTGCCTTCGGATTAATCTTTGACTGGAGAGAATTTTTGTTGATGGGGGATTTATCCACTCGTGACACATCCAATTCTGGGACAAATATACATAGTTTTGAAGGAGTAAATTTTAAGAGTTTTCTCAATCTCTATTCCACCAGATACCCACCGGGCTACTTCACACAGTCATACAACTTTGACTTCACAAACTACGCTGGTCTGCACCGTCCTGTTTATGTTTACACGACGCCACGGACATATATTGAGGATATCTTTGTGACCACAGACATAAGTGGAACAGACGGTAGGTGTATAAGGTATGGATTAGTACGAGAAAGTTAATTGAATATGATGTTATTTTCTTTGGCTTATACTATCTTGTGAAGATTCATGTATGCATATGTTCCACCTCATTGAGTAGTAAATAAAGTTAGAAATATAGGACTACCAGGAGGTGGACAAAAATATAGAGACAAGTAAGAAGTAGACTGAAGGAAGGTTTTTAGTAAGAACTCAACTTCCTGTCCTAATATGAAATGAAAGGAAATGTTTATGAGTCATTATTGGAAGTTACATGTTCCTTGTGTTTCAATTTTATGCTTTTGGGGAGGGGGAAATTGTGAGTCTCTGTTTAGTATGAAGAATGTTCAAATATCCAGTACAAGTATGTGATAAGTACAGTAGAGGCAGTGTATTCCTCTGTATACAAACTTTTTTGTATCTGAAATTTCACGTTAACGATATAGACAAATTAGTGACTCATTAATAAGCGTCCTAATCAATTATCATGTTTACAAAATCCCACTCGAGTATGAAGTGAACAGCGTAAGAGGCACACACACCAATATATTACTCACCAGCACATTATTTCTTATTTGGTCTGAATTATTATTTTGTTTTCTGTGTTTAATACTTTTAATATTTATAATGACTTTTTTTTCTTTTAATGGGATTCGCCTGTTTTAAGTCTAGGAGAAGAGTTGGGAAGATTGCCTAGAATGCAACCCCAAATTTTCCCTTTAAATTGATGGGAGACGCCTTGCTGATTCACAAGGTTTTCGTATCTTAGAGTTACTATATGACTTGTTGATTATCTTACCTAGACTCTGTAGTTGTGTGTCATCTTGATGGATGTGGATTAAGACTAATAGATATATTTCAAGTGGGCTAATTCAGTCCCATGTAGGTGGCATGATAATGAGATTGGCAGATGGACTGTCAGATAGGTGGATAGACTGAGAAACACTTGCTAGATTGACTGACAGATAGATAAACTGAGAAACAAATTATGAATCTGAAGAATTGACAATCAACTGCACGAGGTCAAACTGTATCTCATTCTCCCTCTCCTGCTCAGGCATCATCTCTTATGACATTATAACTGCCACCACTAAGATAGGACCCAAGCGTCTGAATGATGCTCCCGGCTGCTCCATGAAGGTGCTGGACAAGGACGGAAGCCACGTTACGAGTGCCATAGGTTGTCAAGGCTCTATTATGATATCTAATGCCAGTCTGTGGTGGCCCTACCTCATGTCAGAGGACCCAGGATACCTGTACACACTTAAGGTAAGTTTTCACTGTCGTGTGTTAAGTTCGGGAGGGGGGGATTGTAGGTTGATGACTCATAGTTGTGAACTTGTCTTATGATCTTATCAACATATTTTAAGATGAGTTGGATAATTTAAGTGATTACCACATCGCCTTCATAAAACAGCTTTCTTCACTCCTGTACTTCTAAACTTTCGCCTTAGGTGGCTGTGTCAGACACCGAGGGCATTTTAGACGTATACCCGCAGAAAGTGGGTATTCGCACCATCGGTTGGAACTCCACTACACTCACCATCAACAACAAGCCAGTGTATCTCCGAGGCTGTGGCAAACATGAAGATGCTGATGTGAGTAAAGGATGAGAGATGTAAATATTGATACCCATTATTGAGAAGTCCATTACTGGGAATTTCCTTTAGTGAGAAGTCCATTATTGGGAATTTCCTTTGAGAAATCTGTTATTGAGAGGATTATCCTGTAGTTGAATTATACATAGAAATTATATAATTAATTGATATTCCAGATTCGGGGGAAGGGAGTAGACTATCCTCTTATTGTTAAGGACTTCAGTCTACTGAAGTGGCTGGGGGCCAACAGCTTCCGCACCTCCCACTACCCCTACGCTGAGGAGATCATGGATATGGCCGACCAAGAGGGAATTATGGTTGTTGACGAGTGTCCAGCTATTGGCCTCAGGTACACTTCACAGGGTATATCGATCTCGTCTGTAACTATTTAGAAATATTATAGAAATTTCTATGTTCATTAATATCAATGTTATTACCTTTTCAAATTGGTATGATTGATCGTATTATTGTTAAGTTTGAAACACTGGTGTTATTATTATGATATTGGACTGTTGTTATTCTCACTCATTTTGTTTTCTGTATATTAAAATGGTTCTGCACAGTGTTACTATGATAAACTTATGAATTTAAGAATATGTGAAACATAGTATGTAAAATGTAAAGAATTCTAGAAGTATTTGTTAATGTCTAATGTGTCAGATGCAGCCAAAACAACCTGTGTTTAGGCTTGGACCTGTGGGACCTTCGAGATAGCTCCCAAAGGCACTAACCCTTGACATTTCTTAATGTACCAGAGTTTGTTGTCAGGGTGATCTGATGTGATTCTGACAAGTCAAGTTTTATTACGACTCTTATTATTATTCTGTTTGACATTTCAGTGGTTTTGGTGAGACTCTGATGAACAAGCACATATCTGTGATGGAAGAGCTGGTGCATCGTGACAGAAACCGTCCCAGTGTGATCATGTGGAGTGTTGGTAATGAACCAAGATCAGACCAGGCAGCTGCCAAGGACTACTTCAGGTCAGGAAAAACAAATTGATTTTGAAATTTTGCTTGACATTATTGTAGTAAACAAACTAATTCAGTAAATAGAGAATTAATTCTTAAGAGTGTAGTACTGTACTGTACTCTAGTTAGTCAGTGCTTCAGGAGGATATTGTATAAAGAAAGTAAAGCACTACCTTGGGAAAAGTAAAAAGGTTGACTTCTCTTTTACTGATGGGTCTTCAACTCTGGACGAACACACGTGATGTCGTTTAAGATTCAACGTTTTACTGTGGATCTATTTTTATTCTACAATGCTATCTTAACTCTTTGATGATGATAGTTTAACCCTCTGATGGCGATGACTTAACCCTTCAGGGCTCAAAGGGTTAATGTGTCCTCCGAGTAATGTATCTGAACCCAAACAAAGCCACTGTGATGAACAACCAGTGATGAGAAGATGGTAGCAGACTATGACATCTACCTGCCATGGCTATTACTGTGCTGTTTCAACAAGTTATCCATAATTCATTCGACTAAAACTATTTCTTCTGAGCTAATTTGACTTTCTTGATCTTTTGTTGGTGAAGTTAACATCTTATACTTCATCCCATTGTAGTGTTTTTACAAGTGACAAGGATCACTACTAGAAGTTAAACTGTGCCTTAGTATTTTTCTCTTTAATGATAAATAGTTAGAAGATAGTTTTTAACTTTAGTATTAACAAGGTACTAATTAACTCAGTTGTTTAGTTATATAAATTGTAGGAACTTAACATTAATCTAAAGTCTTACTAAATTCTGCTATGTGTTTACTGACTACAGTCATGCGCCGGTTAACGTCCTAGATACGTTCTTGGAAACGTGATGTTAACCGAAATGGACGTTGTCCGATCATCACATAAACTTTTTATTTATACTTGTGTATGTGGAATACTATATACGTACATATACACTTTTACTCTTAAATCACTACTGTAATGTGATACAGGTGATTAATTTTTATCTCGTGATTAATTTTTATCTCTTGTGCAAAATACATGACGTTTATATTAAAATTATTCACTGTTTCACAAGGATTCCAGCAACGCCAAGCAGATGGGGGAGAGAGAGGGTGGGAGCGAGGAGGGGGCGTGGGGGGAGTGGAGGTAGTACGTTTGACAGTTGGCACGGGCCCAGGTCTAATGCGTGTATATTTATCAGTTCTTAGGTGACTAAGCGTCTCTCTTATAAAAAGCCAGTGAAATGACCTGGGTGAATATAATTAACAGCTGGGATTCTTGTAACATACTGATTAATTTGAATATAAACATGCTATAATTTGCACTAGACAAACAATTTTAGTGCCGTAATCAAATTAGTACATGTGCACTCGAGCTTTGCATTGACGTCATTTATTTCTATTACGTTTCTTTTAGTATGGTGTGTGCATGTAAATGGATGAAAATAAATGAAGAAACTTATGTAAATCTACCCAAAAATACAGTTGAAAAACTTTTTATAAAATGTACTACAGTATTGTACACTAATGTACTACATATTTTATATCTTGAGCAAAATATATGATGCTTATATTCAAATTAATCTGTCTTGCAAGGATTTCAGCAATGCAAATTATATTATCCTAACTTTAGTCTGAGATATTATATAAAATGAACAAAGAAATCGCCAATCTTTTATCTTGGAACACGAGGGTGGTGGGAAGATGGGGGGTGAGGCGACAGAATGTCTGCCGTTTGTTTGTTTATTTATTTGAGATAAGATTTGACAGTTGGCGCTGAAGGCCTGCCTGCATGTTTATTTATCATTACTTAAGGGTGACTAAGCTCTTCTCATAATTTGCCACCCAAATGACCTGGGTGAATATAACTTACATTGGAGGGATTCTTGTAAGATAGTAATTTATTTGAATACCTGTATAAACAAGCTATATTTGCAATAGACATAACAATTTTAGTACCATAATCATTTAGTACATGTACAATACAGGTTTGCACTTGGGTCCATTGTTACTGTACAATATTGACTAAATTCACTAGATAACGTACGCCTGGCCGCACAATCTATAAGAATACGCGATGCATACGTGACTGCCTGCTTTAGGTCCATTTCGGTTCGCTAGTTCCCATTATTTGAATGTTTTTTTTTTTCAATTTAAATTTTAATTGTTTATTCCTTGATAGAGGAAGCGGGATCCTAGTGCTGTCACTTGGTACCCCTGTACCATAACACCAGAAGCAACTGGCCAGTGTCACAAGTATATACAGTACAGTCATCCCTTGGTTATCGCGCCTAATTGGGACCCTGCCGATAATGAAAGTACAGAATCTATGGGATTTATTCTAATTGGTTCAGGCACCCAAGACCCAACCCCAAGTTTCCCATTTTACGACCATTTAGACCCACTAAATATATATTTTGTGTTATGGTAAATATCATAAACACACATAGGCATGGCTAGGTTTATTACAAAGTGATGAAAAGGGTACGCTTAATACTGTAGTCCACAATACATGTAGCTATGCTTTTTTTATTTGGTCCCCCGTCATACAAGTCCGTTTTCTCTCACATCAGGATGCCTGAGTCCTCCGTTTTCTCTCTTAATCATAGAGTGCACCAGAAACTTTACTATTTTTAGTAATGCCACAGAATTTGAAATTGCAACCCCCATTGCAACTGGGGTTGCAATTGTTGAGGCAACTAGATATGTCTGATTACAGCAAATGTGTTATTGTCAATGTGTAGGTGAAAGATTTTATCCTCAATAGATGTAGGTTAACATTTCACCTGTAGGCAAATGCTTAAAAAAAGCCTAAGTAAGGAAGCATATTCCTTTAACACATAATATCTGACCAGTATGGGGAGGATCATCGTGTCTCCGTCAGGGGGTCGTGGAGTGGTGGTCCAGCAGGCGTCACTTTTTTTTTGGGGGGGGGGGTGGCACTGACGTATATGCAATCGGACGTTGTTCGGTCGGACGTTAACCGGCGCATGACTGTATTTGTGTCTTGAAGTTTGTGCCAATTTTAGTGTTTTCTGTATAACATGTGAAACTTGATAAAGATAATGTTAAAATATATCATCCAGGAGCACAAACATTTCCTACTAAGTTACAATTTTACAGCACAAGGAAGAGTAGTTCATGTGGATGTAAAATGTCCGCTAGTATGTCAAGTAAAATAGTGAGATTCATCCTTATAATTTGTCTTTCAGCATCTAGCTAATAGAGTGAGTTGATGTTTTGAGGATATTTATGAGTTTTCTTGGTTAACTTTAATTAATTTTACTTGAAAATTTATTTGCAGAAATGTCGTTACTGCTACCAAGTATTTAGATCCAACACGTCCGGTAACATGCGTTTTGAACATGCCCAAGGGTATCGACGTAGCCGAATGTAAAGTGTTAACTCTGGCCTTTATGGGAGGTTAAGGGTGGTAGATGTTATGGGTGGTAGAGGTTAAGGGTGGGAAATGTTAAGGGTGGTAGATGTTAAGGGTGGTAGAAATTAAGGGTGGTAGATGTTAAGGGTGGTAAATGTTAAGGGTGGTAAATGTTAAGGGTGGTAGATGTTAAGGGTGGTAGAAGTTAAGGGTGGTAAATGTTAAGGGTGGTAGAAGTTAAGGGTGGTAAATGTTAAGGGTGGTAGAAGTTAAGGGTGGTAGAAGTTAAGGGTGTTAGAGGTTAAGGGTGGTAGATGTTAAGGGTGGTAAATGTTAAGGGTGGGAAATGTAAAGGGTGGTAGAGGTTAAGGGTGGTAGAGGTTAAGGGTGGTAAATGTTAAGGGTGGTAGAAGTTAAGGGTGGTAGAGGTTAAGGGTGGTAAATGTTAAGGGTGGGAAATGTAAAGGGTGGTAGAGGTTAAGGGTGGTAGAGGTTAAGGGTGGTAGATGTTAAGGGTGGTAGAGGTTAAGGGTGGTAGAAGTTAAGGGTAGTAAAAGATCCTGATTAGTGGAGGGATCTTACTGTGTGGGCTTATTGTTTGCTTTCAGAAATAATGTTGCTTACTTTACCACTGTGTTTTATGGTAATACCCTTTCGATTATATCTCCCAAAGGTTATAGAAAATGATAAGTTAGTATGAAGATAATTTTTGAGGCAGAACGTGCAGGAAAAGATGTACAGTACCTCAGTTTTAGCCTCTTGATGTGCTAGAGATCTAACTCGGGCTGTAGTAAGATGCTTGTATAATGAATAATACCTCGACAACCTTACCTGTTGTTAGGGTTGAGTTGTGTGTACAGTATATGTCACATTTTAAAGGTTTTCTTTTTTTTTCTCCATAAATATCCTTAAGATATGCTAAATGTTTTACCTTGTATGTTCTATTAGTGTTTTCCTGTGTTATCTCATCTGCCCTAATTTTCCTGTGTTATCTCATCTGCCCTAATTTTCCTGTGTTATCTCATCTGCCCTAATTTGAGGTAAATCACTCATTTCTTTTCCTGCACACACACAGTGGGGTAAAGATAAGTATCAATATTGTCAATGATCCTTATTTCCTTTTTAACGTTATGAATAAAAGTTATGAAAATAAAAGGTGAAAAGTTTCAGGGGTTCAAATCTTAATGCAGGTAATAGACGACTTCTTGTTGGGAGAAATTATCCCTTAATTATTCCTTTGTTGACTACCTGTGATGTTCCGTTGTTTACACCATCAATCAATCATAGTACTGTACCATCCTTATACTGTATCTGAGGATTGGCAACCACAGTTCTCCACACTACAGTATACTGTACACTAATGATAAGGATGACACTAATTATTTTAGGTAAAACGAATTTGGCTCCCAGATGTCAGTTTCCTATTTATATATTTTCTCAGTAACACTCGAGTTGAAATTTCAAGTACCCGGTAATTTGATTGTCTGTCGACTTTGAGTTAAGTCTGGGGTCCCTCTTCATCACTTTCTCTACAAATCACAGTGGTTGAAATTCCAACATTTCCTTGACACAGTATAATGAGGGGCAACTGTTGAAAAGTTTAGTAATAAAGAATTATATTTTAAAAAAAGGGGAATCTATTTACAGCAATGTGGTAAATGCTACAAAAGATGCCGATGGAACCAGACCTGTTACTTGTGTTCTGTCATATGACAAGAAGACGGAATTTGCTGTATGTAAATTGAATTTTATTTATTTGCTTCTTAGGTTTTATTTAGGTGGTAATTGTCTTGTATTCTGTTATTATAAGTGTGGTTATGTGTTCACTATATTGTACTGCTGTGTTGTGGTTTGTTCATTTAAGTATTTGGTTAAACTTCAATGTTTTGATTTTGAAAGTGGACCCAGAGAATATCTGTTGCCAGGACCAAGTCTTCCACACTGTTGGTTTCAAGAGGTTTTCAGTATTTGTATGAAAATTACATTCTTATATGGAATTGCTGATTGAGGTGTGTTCCATCAGTTAGTCAACATTGTTTTATATCATCATCATCAATGCTCTATGGTTATTTTCCATGCTTGCACGGGTTAGTACTGTACAGTATTGTCTTGTGTTCCATGTTGTACACAAGATGGCAAATACAGAATCATCCTGAAGACTTTTATCATCAGTTGTATGCATGTTAACAAAGACTGACCTAGACCATTGAGTGTTCACCTGTCTATCATAATTGTGAAACTAAATGGAGTGGACCAGGCACACCAAGCCTGAATAAATAATAAGATATTATATATTTGGAAATTAATACTGTATGTCCATTGTGCTTATTTGTTTAATACCTATTGTACTGTACGTACTCACTGTGTGAACAAATTTGAGTCATTAGAACATGGCCATTTATTTTATAAAATTGATCTTCAGATTAGTTGTAGCGGCCACTCGTGCTGCGGACGCTACCCGGCCGGTGACGTGTGTCCTGAATCAGGGCTTACTTGAGTTTGCTGTAGGTTGTGTGAATCAAGTTGGTCATTTAGTTCGGATTACTGTCAGATTAACTTTTTGCGAAGACCTCAACTGAATGGATGACACACATAAGTTGATTGGTTTGTGTGTACACTGTTGGCTTTGTGTAATGTTAGAGCTCTCCTCTTGCTTTCACACATTTTCTATCTGAGCGACATAGTTAATTATTAGTTTGTTCTTGCACAGATTTGTTAATTCATACTGACAATAGCCGATTTGTGTGTACTTAAGATAACTTATGTGTAGATTGTTGGATTACAGGGAAGGTACAGGTGTGTGCGTGCGTGCATGCATGCGTGTGTGTGTGTTTTTTTTTTTTTTTTGTAAGTGTACAGTAGCTGCCCATCTGTGATTACATATTTTTTTTAAGTTGGACAACTGTATATAACTTTGTATTCAATTCTCGTCCAAGCTTTCAGACTGAGGCAATTATATCTTAACGGACTCATTTAAAGTCTGTAACATCTTCGTGATGCCAGTAAAAACTTCAGCTCATCTCTTCTATTCCTCCAGAAAAGTTGTAGCTGCTACCAAAGCCGAAGATTCCTCCCGGCCTGTAACATGTGTGCTTAATCGGCCAAAATACAAAGAATACGCTGTATGTCTACTTGAGTGTTTGTCTGTACACTGGTTGCTGTGTGACTGTGGTGTTGTTATGCATGTGGATGACAAGTAAAGTTATTACAGGAATTGGCTTCTCAGATGCTTGAAGTATGCACAGTAGGATTTAGATGCTAAGGTGCTTTTGTTTTGTATGATATGTTTACTACATGTTTAAAGGTCAACTCTAAAGGAAATATATATGATACACATTAGTTTAAAGTGAAATTGAGTGACATATCATATAAGCATTTTGACGGCCTCTTGTCGCCATGAACTGATGTGACGAGAGTTGCTTAAATTTCTTGTCATTACTTTATCAGGAGAGTACAGTAGTTGTGTTTGTTTGTTTGTTTGTCTATAAATTTTCATACATTCAACTCCTCCTAAACAACTGGCTTGACTTTGCTGCAACTCTCCATAAATATGTGTTCATTGGTGAGCTTTTGTTATTGCATGAGACATTAGTAAAGATCTCACAAATGGATGACTTTACTAAAATGGAACAAATGTGTAACTCTATATACATTCAAAAATTTTCATTCAGTTGTCGTGAAACTTGAAAAATTACCACAGTATATCACGTTTTTGTCCATTTACAGTATTAATGTCCATTTACAGTATTAATGTCTACAATAACTATGAAAAAGAAATGGTTTAGAGTTGACCTTTATAAATGTAAGTAAGTGTAAGTTATGTAACACTGCTGTTCTCTTACGTGCTTTTGTTCCTTTACATATTTATGAGTGTAATAATATTTTATGTACAGTATAACAAATTATTAATACAAGGTTCTGAGCTTTAACTATTTGTTTAGTAAGTTGATTTTTTTTTCTATTATTTCTTTTATATAGGAACAGCTTTCTGGGAAGACAATTAATTTATGCTTTCTTTTTTAAATTCAGTTTGTGTTCAGGTTGTTTTATGAATTTTTTTTTCCGGCCCAAAAATTCACTTATACAAAAGTATCCAGTTGGGTCAAGAGTTGCCTGAGTCTGTATTAGAGGGGAGGAGAGGCAGGGGTAGGTCGAGGAGGGCATGGGGAGAGGTTGTAAGAAATGACATTAGACTTAAGCACCTGACAAGAAAGGCTTCAAGAGGGTCGAGTGGAAAATGGCCATGAAAGGTTAATGATGGTGGCTGTGATCCATTAATATCATAGAGTATAGGTCATGTATATATTCCATGAGAGTGATGATAATTCCCTCATCATCATTATTAAGTTTTATTGATGTCCTGTTAATAGGCTTTTCACCTGTTTCTAGTATTATACATTTACTGCCTTCTTACTATCACACACGCATATTGATCTGTCATGACATATATCTCTTGGTGGTGGATCAATCGTCATTACTTAACATATCTCAAAGATAGTGAGTGAGCCATCCTGTATGTGAAGCTCATGCTGTTGTTTATAGTTATAATGGATGCTGGTGAACTTGATCGTCGAGTACTACTGTGTGGTTTACAGGCAGCTGTACTTTTACTCAAAATATGTGGCATATAGTATTTAGATGAGACTTGTTTATAATAGTTTTATTATACAGGGTATGCATGAGTTTTCTGACCCATTTTGAATCTTTTAACCTCAAAAATTTTATAGATAGAACACACTGGTTTTCTTATTCTTGAAGAACAAGACTGATGCTACAGTTAAGTGAAGCATGAATTCTAATGTTGCTGTAAGAAGTTATATGGCATGTATTGGGGTAGGTAAGGTTGACTGTAGTGTGGGTGAAGGGTCATCCTATGCTTGTACAGTACAGTATGTTGTGGGTGCTCTTGTTGTTTAGAGGAATGAACCTTTCTTATATGTGTGTTAGTAAACTGTATTGTGTAGGTGATAGTGTAAGTTGAACTAAAATGGTCGTGTTGAGAACAAACTAATCTTTCACATAAGCTGTTGTTTACCTACATTTATTGAGAATATTAACAATCTAACCTGTATTAACCTAACATAGCCTTTTTAGATCCAGCTAAATCAAATCTGAACTGAAATTGTTTGAGATAAATTAAGTCATGCTGATTTTATGAAATATAAATTGTTTTTTAATTTAGGAGTTTACAGGTACAGTATTTCCAATATTTAATAAAATGACAGACATTACAAATTATCGGTGTTGATCAATTAGTACACTGTAATTAACATGATCTGACTCACTAGGGTAGCAGCCTGGACATTATCCTGGTGAACCGTTACTACTCCTGGTACAGTGACACGGGTCACTTGGAGATCATTAAGCTACAGACTGTCACTGAGTTCACTGAGTGGCATGAACTGCACAATAAACCTGTCATGATCTCAGAATATGGAGCTGGTTCAATGCCCGGCCTTCACACGGTTAGTTCACTACATGTTTTATTGTCTATTTCTTACAAGTTGTATGTACAGATGACATGACTTTTTTCCCTTGTTGTATTTTCCCCACTATGTTTGACTTTTCATTCAATGTTTTAATTAATGATTTTATGTTTTGGCTTTTGAAATGTTAAAAAGTGTGAAGAAGCTGAACTGAGAGAGATCTATCGCTGATTATTATTTTTTTAGTAGTTTTGTAGTGTTATTTTCCTTTTCCATACAATGTTTAGTTGAGGAAAGCGTTTATGAATATTTTACCGCACCTTATAAACACACTGCACCTCTGAATGATTAATAGGCATACTGGGATGTGTGAGTATGTGAAAGTGTACAAATGTTAGGAGGGAAAATTACCATAAGCCATTCTTCTTTCTCTGATAAAAGGTATTCCAAGTTCTGTATATGTAGTGACAGAAGGCAATATTGGGGCAGATCTGTAGTGTTACTGAATATTGATATAATATTTTGTTATCTAGGATGTGACATACTGTACTTGAAAATCGAATAAGATTGATATACTGTACTGTACTGTGTAGTGTAGTTGAAGAAGTGATAATACTACAGTATAGTACTTTGGTGAATTGATGAATTAAATAACTGATTCTGTATTAGTGAAGTAGTTTACCTTCATGGCAATTATCAAGGATTCAAAGATAGCTTTGTGTTATGTAAAAATATATTGGCAAGAATGGAATAGGTGTAGTAATACTTGTGGTGAATTTACTATATACCAGCGGATGTGTCGTGTAATGTGTGCCAGAACTGTGATACATCTGAAATCATCCATTGTTGTATATTAATTATAACGCTTGAAAATTAATATCTTTCTTTAATTGTTCGAGAAAGTGTTACAGTATAAGGAAGCCTCTGTGTAATTTCCTCCCCCCAGGACCCAGCATTCACATGGTCTGAGGAGTACCAGGCAGAGCTGATGTTGCAGAACTTCGAAGCGTTTGATGAACTCCGCAAGAAGGGATACTTTATTGGGGAAATGATTTGGAATTTTGCTGACTTTGCTACTCCACAAGGTAAGTAGAATAATAGATACAGGTATAATTTTTATTCATCCTGTTTGATTCAATTCTGGTAGATGATTATAATGTCTGCCAAAGGCTTAGATTAGTTTTACTGGTAAGTACAGTAGACGTATCATCCAGCAGACTTACCCTAGACCTACCTCGTGCCTACACTTCTTTATTTGTGTATATTTTTCTCCACAAACCGGATCATTGTGGGGTACTGTATAGGGTTCTGTGTTTACTCATCTTACTTATTATGCTTGTAACATTGGTCATCACCTATGTTGTTGTATTTGATGATTCATAAGAAAAAGTTCTTAAGTCATAAAGTTAATCACTCGCTTGTGTAATTTTTTAATGCTGATTTTTGGTGTTTTTCTCTTATTCTATATGAACTGTATACTAAAGTAAACCCATTTTGTGTTTTTATTTTGCCATTCATTTTTCACTGAGGTAACTGGTGTAGTATACAATACAGGTCTTAGGAAGATCTATGAGGTATCTGCCATGATTAACCGTGCTGCTGGACAACAAATATTTATTTAATTTTTTTTTTTTTTTAATTTAAGCATGATTTGTCATCACCTGAATGATGACTTCTACTTGAGTCCTCTTGATAATTTATATTTTATATTTCTGATAAATTATTTTGGTTTCCCTTAATCAGTAAATAAGAAGTTTTAAGCATGCTCTCCATTACAGTACAGTACAGTACTTTAATGAGTAAGTTAAAAGCATTTAGAAAGCTATTGAAATATGTTTTTCTGACACTGTAGGTTTTACACGTGTGGTCGGAAACAAGAAAGGAATTTTCTCCCGAAATCGCCAACCCAAAATGGCAGCTCACGTACTCCGTTTTCGTTACCACAAACTTGCTGAATCATCATTATTTGATGATGAGAATCTTCTCTGTTTTAGGAAATAGGAATTATGTTATTAGTACAGTACAGTGTACTGTAATTAATATGCCACTGAGCACTTCTAGCATTGTAGCCCATTTTTCTTTTATATAAGAAATTTAGGTTTTTAGTTGAATTAAGTACATACAGTACAGGACAGTACTGTATTACTAATTGAGAGTTATTCACTTTCCTTATTTTTAATATTTGTGTCACAGTACAGCACCATAAACTTAAACTGTAAAATCACCTTTTACTCGTCAGAACTTTGCATTTAAGTTAAGAATACCTTTACATCAGGTATGATAATGAATACAGTAACATCATCTTACAACAGTATGACAATACATTTTAAGAGTACTGTACTGTACTTCACCTTATTCGAAAAACCATTTTATTTATTGTTTAATTTTTAGGAAATATATCTGTTGCAGGAATTATGAATTGTATTTTCTGGAGTCCAGGATAATTATTGTTATTTTTGTACTGTGATTGTTTGCTTCATATAAAATGTGTGTTGAGCCTTATACTGTACTGTACTTTCTACTGTAATCCTATTTTCTAATTTTGAAATATTTTACTCTGTGTATGTGTGTGTATGGTCATCTATGCTGTGTGAATTTACCATATTCTATAGACATGTACATGGCCATAGATATGGTAGACAGTCACTTGTTTAATTTTGGATGCTCATATCACTGAGCACATAATTTGGCATCTGTACCGTTATTTTCTGTGATGTAATGGCATTTATTGATATTAATACTAAACCCTCTAAGGTATTATTAAACTGATAATAAAGAGGAATTACTGTACACTCTTAAATATTTGATTTACTTGGAATCTCCTGAGGAACAGAAGGTGTCATAGTATAGTCTTCCTGAGGCGATAAAGGCTGCCCATATAATTATCTGACACATTTTAAACTTTAAGAACTTTAAAAACAGTGCACATTGAGTTGTTTGTCGAGTCTAATAAAACTAGACTAATTTATCTTTTAATTTTTTTAGGGTTACATATTTCTATTAAGTTTTAAAATGGGTTAGGTGGTTTAAGGACAGTCATTGTACTCCTGCCCACATAAATATGTAAAGTGAAAATATTGTACTCTAGTTATTTACACTATTATTCTTGTATGGTTTAAGGAAAGAGTTCTAAACTAGTCCTCATCTATATACTGTACTGTGGTGATGATAAATCTTGATATTTTTAATGTTGGATAAGATAAACCATAGATGGCAAGTAATTAGCATTAGAAAATTCATTACAAGTTTTGAGATGTCATTGGGACATGTAATTATACGGTTATAAAACTGCGGATAACAGATCCTTAATCAGCATGTTCAGGAGTACATATTTTGAGATTTTGAACAAAATTGCCAAGATAAGAGTACAGTATGGCCGAAAACACTTTCTCTTAAAATTGAAATTTAATGTTTCTAAATAGTACTTGAGTACACCGAGGATAACACACAAACACTAAGGAGAGACCTTGATAAGCCCTAAAAAAAACAGGGTTGCTATTTTGTTGGTTTTAATAAGTTTTAAGTGTTTGTAGCCTTTTTATAAGTTTTTAATGTGCCATTAATCATAAACATTACATTCAGGATGGTTTAGCAATCATTTATACTATTTTCTATCTAAAAAAATCACTGTGTAAAGGCCACATTTAAAAAACACAAGCTTTGATCAGTCATAGGACTTGGCTGACTCTGGGACACATGACACTGCAGGATACATTGGGCCCTGGGTACCAACAGACCAGAGAACACAGCGGATCTTCAGCCATGATGGATTCTAGGGCACATTTGGTCCTGGTGGAGGTTTCATGTTTCCCGTGTTCTATTGTTTTTGCATATTGGTGGGCAGAGGGAGGAACCCTTACCCCATTGACTAAGGGTTTAGAGATAAAACAAGGACATCTACCAGACCAGTCACTTGTGGATCACAGTTGACAAGAGTATAAGAAAAGACATACTGTATATTATAACCATAGCGACCCCCGCTTAATTTATGTGATGATTGCACACCCTAATGCAAACCTAACCTCAGATAATCTAACCTACCTCCACCTCCCCCCTTTAGCATGAGAGTGTGCAGTCATCAGGTGAAACAGGCTGGTAGTCTTAGTCTTCATGAGATACAATTTATCTTAATAATATTATATTATATGAGATAGGATCTTGGGATCTTTTCAGAACTGATTTCTCAATCTGAATTACATAAAGTTAGGTTTTATTGACTGTTAACTGAATCCTCGTCCTCGCTCCTTCCAGAATACAACCGTCCTGGTGCATGTATGAAGGGTCTTTTTACTCGAGCTCGACAGCCTAAGCTAGCTGGGCATCTGATGCGAGTACATTACTGGTCACTCGCACAAAAGATTGATAACGTGACAGTTCCTGAGGGTGTAGGGAGGCTTGGGTCAGTTTATAATTGGAAAAACTTGTAATTGGTTACTTTTAATGTGGAGCAGCAGTGTGTAGAGCACAGGACTGTAGTCTGGTGTTGTCTTCACCTTCATCCACATTAGAGGTCAAAACTCCTGATTCATGAAAACACATTTGTAGCTGCTTGGAATCATATAATAGTAAAGCAATATGAATTTTATTAGGATTAAAAATTATGTTTGAAATATATGAACTTCCAGTAGCTTAGATAAGTGATTTGTTATTGATGCTAGTGATTGATAATTTTGTGCAAGTTTTGTGGAATAACCCCAAGAACAAATATGAATAATTCTTTTAATTTTGTATCTTACAATGTACCAAGGCAGGTAGATATCATATTATATAGTGCCTTACTTTAAATCTAGAAATAATAAGTGTGGGAAATGTGTGTAAAGCTTTGATGATGATGTTATTACTGTACTGTACTTCACCACACTTAATGTTCCTCATGGTACAGTATCTTGGTTAAATATTATTTCATCTTGCAGTTTTCTCAGTCTTGTGAAAAAAATCATTTCCAAATCCTAAAATCATTGTCAACAGTCATGTTAACTTCTACTCACTGAGAGTACTGTGATATACTTGTTGTTTACAGTTAACATGCAGGGAAAGATATTTTTTTGGATTGATATATATTTATGCAGTAAAATCGTTATACATGTTTACAATTGGTTCAGCATGTATATAGATAATGTAATTATACAGTGTACATGGATGGTGCTGGTATACTATACAATGTACAGTACCTAGACAATGCAGTTACTATACAAACAATGTACAGTTGCTTCCACATGAACATACCACTGCCTGGGAGTGTGTGAGGGCTCAGGTGCAAGATGTGGCAGCACATCTCCATAGTCAGGGTTGAAGGAATGGAAATGAAACAGTGAAATTTCCGTGTTTGCTTGGCCACACACCTATGGTGAAGAACACTTATCACATGGATGCTTTACTTGTGTATGTTCTGCAGCCATGACCGAGTGACTATGATTGAACTACAGGAACTGGCAAACAGGGTGATCCACTGTTTCCAGCCTGTGTTTATATCCAGTAGGGGAAAACCTTCAATGTTTTGTTATCTTGGTAATGTTCAGATATTAATTTTATTTTCACATTTCCTTTTACCAGTGTGAATGCTGAAACTGCATGATAGTTGTTCCTGTGGGTCTGTCATTTTGTAGATCTAAACCTGTGAGTATGATGACTCCTGTGTGTAGTGTGTGACTAGTACCTTGTGTGATGTTTCTGGAGTGACTAGTACCTGGTATAATGGTTTTATAGTGACTAGTACCTTGTGTGATGTTTCTGGAGTGACTAGTACCTGGTATAATGGTTTTATAGTGACTAGTACCTTGTGTGATGTTTCTGGAGTGACTAGTACCTGGTATGATGGTTTTATAGTGACTAGTACCTTGTGTGATGTTTCTGGAGTGACTAGTACCTGGTATGATGGTTTTACTAGGTGATGTTTCTGGAGTGACTAGTACCTGGTATAATGGTTTTATAGTGACTAGTACCTTGTGTGATGTTTCTGGAGTGACTAGTACCTGGTATAATGGTTTTATAGTGACTAGTACCTTGTGTGATGTTTCTGGAGTGACTAGTACCTGGTATGATGGTTTTATAGTGACTAGTACCTTGTGTGATGTTTCTGGAGTGACTAGTACCTGGTATAATGGTTTTATAGTGACTAGTACCTTGTGTGATGTTTCTGGAGTGACTAGTACCTGGTATAATGGTTTTATAGTGACTAGTACCTTGTGTGATGTTTCTGGAGTGACTAGTACCTGGTATGATGGTTTTATAGTGACTAGTACCTTGTGTGATGTTTCTGGAGTGACTAGTACCTGGTATAATGGTTTTATAGTGACTAGTACCTTGTGTGATGTTTCTGGAGTGACTAGTACCTGGTACTAGTACCTGGTATACCTGATGGTTTTATAGTGACTAGTACCTTGTGTGATGTTTCTGGAGTGACTAGTACCTGGTATGATGGTTTTATAGTGACTAGTACCTTGTGTGATGTTTCTGGAGTGACTAGTACCTGGTATGATGGTTTTATAGTGACTAGTACCTTGTGTGATGTTTCTGGAGTGACTAGTACCTGGTATGATGGTTTTATAGTGACTAGTACCTTGTGTGATGTTTCTGGAGTGACTAGTACCTGGTATAATGGTTTTATAGTGACTAGTACCTTGTGTGATGTTTCTGGAATGACTAGTACCTGGTATGATGGTTCTACAATTACTAGTACCTTGTGTGATGTTTCTAGAGTGACTAGTACCTGGTATAATGGTTTTATAGTGATATTTTTAGGTGAATACAACATCAATAATGTTACTGTTGTATTGGGACAGAAGACAGTATTTTTGTTAATTGTTTTTCAACTTGAACAAAAACTGAAAATGTTTCCATCTGTCATAAATGATGTTAGACATAAATTTAGAATACCATAAAGCATTTAAGAAAATCATTAAAATCAGAAATGTTTAATATAAAACTTGTAATAACGAACAAATAACTAGATTCACCAAAAAGTGTTGACCTCACAGAACAAGGAAACATAGTACTCTATTGAGATCTTAGAATTATAACTATTTTTAAGGACCCCAGTTGATTCATGATATGGGCTTGGACTCTACCTAAAGATTTAATTGTTTTAGGGAACTTTATAATAATTAATGTCTTCAAACTCCATATATACTGTACTGTAATTAGCATTTATGGTAATTAAAATTTTCAAACCACATATAATTACCATCTTCAAACCACATGTATTAAAATCTCTAAACCACACGTACAGTATATGAGGTTGGTTTATATTGTCATATCTTAGAGTTAGTCACTGGTTGTAACTTGTGATAATAATACAGTACATGAGGGACCGACTACTCAAGGGTGTGTTGTTGTTGAGAGTGACTTCCCTCAGTTGTGGTTGTGATTTATATACTTTGATCAATGAGCGTTGATTGCAGAATTATTATTTTTTTGTAGTACAGTGAGTTCTGCTATAACGCGTGTTTTGATAACGCGAATTTGCTGTAACGCGATTTATGAATTAGGAACGATATTTGTATAACGCGAATGCTTGTTTGCTATAACGCGATTTTTGATTACTATTTCTCCAATTTTGTGGTACGTATTAACTGTGAATATAGTAAAGAAGAATATCAACAAGAAGCGTTCTGGTGATAGAATTCCCGGTGATGATCGTAAAAGAAAGGATATAACACTTGAAGAGAAGATCAATTTTATCAACCTCAAAATCACCCTTCTCCCCCATCAAGTAAAGTGTTACATTTACTGTATGATTTCATTATTAGATATGAAGGTAACATTTATTTAGACTGCTATCCTTTGTGTTAGG